TACTGATGATAGAGTTAGCCCCACAGAGAAATATTTCCCTAATGGAAAAAAAAAAGGAATTTAAAGCTGCTCCTTCCCTAAATTCCCTATTCTCTCTCTGCTACCACCTACCACTGATGCGAGATCAGGAGCCCATCCTGTTTTATCCCACAGTACATCTCCATTAGAGCACTATACTGGGATGTTTTCGTTGCTGGTGCACTGTCTTCCCCACCAAGACTGCTGTGAACTCCTTAAAGTCATCGATTATGTCTTGTGCATCTCAGCACCTCCAGGGCACCTGTTCCCACACATAACAGAAGATCAGTGAAGGTGTGTTAAATTAACAAATGCGGTATTGTAGGAAATGTATATATATGTATGAAGGTAGGTATGTATGTGTATGAAAAACATGATCCAGTTGAGGGTTTACATTTTGTGGACTGCAATGACCTTGATATCAGACCTTTCAGGAAGGTAGGCAGCTAAGGCATCTTAGCTGGGACCAAAAAAGAAAGAAGGTATCTGTCAGGAAATACTTAGACACTTATGGAGCACTCCGTAAGCCATCAGGCAACGAATTGAGCTCTAGGGTTATAAAGACCACATCTCTGTCTATAAAGAGCTCAGAGCCCCGCTGGGCACGGGGCAGGTAAGGATCTCATCCCCACCAGCGAGCAGAGATGTTAAAGTTAGATCAGGACGGCTGACTCCCCGAGTTCTCCTACATCGCAGCGCTCTTTCCACTAGAACAATGCCTTTCAAATGTTGACAGGGCTCATAGTAAAAAATACATTCTGTGCACTACCCAGTACAGATACACACATTTCTGATTTCTTCTATTTAATTCTATTCTATTTCACGTTTTAAAAATGTTCATCTTGACACGCTAAATTGGTTTATGACTCAAAGGTAAAAAAAATACTGCTCTAGAAGATACATTTTTAAAATTTTCTCTAAATCAAGGCAGATATAATTCCTAATAGTTTTTCTCACACAATGAATCTGTATCCCAGCAAAAAAGTAAAACACTATCAAATAATAAAATAACCCACAAAGACTAACATAGAGCCATGACAGCTGTCACTTGGGGAGTGGGAGGAAGCCAAACCTAATCTCCGTCAGCTTTCCCTAAAACCACCCAAGTAAATATGCAATCTAAGGGAAACAGCGTTTGCTAAGCAAAAACAGTTTGGTGGCAAGCCCCCTGGTACCCCATCTCCCTGCCAGCCAGACTGTGGCCCGAAGGTCTCTCATCCTATAGAGAAATTCTGGAGCTTCCAATTACAATGAATTTTTTTAATGATTTTGTGCAAGAGATTTTAATTAAATGTGTTTGGATGGGGAACAATGAATTTATTAAAATAAGTGAATGAAAATCAAAATAAACAATTTTAAATAAACACATTTTATTAAAAAAAAATCTCTCTCTGAAATTTACCAATCCTCACTTAAATGGGGGGGGGGGGGGGGGGGCAGGGGGGGGCAGTGTACTGATTTATCCCAGACCTGAATAAAGCATGCAGAGGTGGATCATTAGTTAAGCTAGTATCTCGTTTGGTTTGCCCTTGAAATATCAGGTCAAAGGCAGTATACAACTTTTCCTCCACATGAGGTGTTTGTACAGCACTTCCCACTAAAGGAAATGTCATAACAACAATCATCACCACCTAGCAGCAAGCTAGAGATGAACGAACCCCAATGTCCTCAGGGTTCGTTCAAGACGTGTTCCCCCGACAAGACATAAAGTCAGAAACAGGCAGAAAGACCAGAAAACTCCTTTCCATCTTCTGTCCACAGGCAGTACTCCAGCTCTGAGGATGCAAATTAAGTACAAGAATGTTCACTCAAGTTCTTGGGCTTACTAGCTTTACCATTCCCCATCCAAGAAGCATGTCTGAGTTTAAAGGACTCATTTTTGTGACACTTGCCTCAAATTAAAAGACAATTTTATAAATCTCCCTGTGTTCCCCAAAAGAAATCTGTTTGGAACTATGTTTGGAAAAATATTCTTTTCATAAAGATAAAATGCATTTTTCCTAAGAAAAAGGAGAAAGCCATACTTACTATTTATCAGCTCTGTGCAACAGAACTTTCTGCGATGATGGAGGTGTTCTATACCTGTGCTGTCCAATACAGTAGCCACTAGCCACCTAGTACCCAGCACTCGATCGTACTAAGCACTTGATGGCAAAACTGCCAAGCACTTGGTGGCTGGTGTAACTGAGAAACCGAATTTTAAATTTTATTTCATTTTAATTAATTTAAACTTCAACAGTCACATATAGCTAGTAGCTACCATATGTGGCAGTGTAGGTTAGATAAGCAATATAAGTCATCAGCAGCAGAGCTGAGTAATTGACTTTTCTTAGACTGAACGTCACAATTCGAAAAAATTACATTCTATACCAATACTCAACTTGTAGCTTCCTAATTAATATTTAATTAATATTTAAGGTTTCTTCAGAAGTGGTTTTTCAACAAAGCTTAGCAATTTTTATTCTAAAACATTAACATACTAAATCTGCTGAGCAGAATTCCTTTGGCAACATTCAGTTTTTCATCTGTGAAAGTGAAGCATAGGGAAAGGGAAAAAAAATGAAGCCCACCCTCCTCTGGACACAAAGGGAAGGAATGAAACACATAATCCATACAAAGGCTAAGATAACTTCCCAGATTCTTACGGGTACATCTGCTCGTCAACCTCTGCTTATGTTTGCTTCTTTAGATCCAATCGTAGCTTTCAACAAAAGTCATACCTACATTTGTTTGACCTCTTGACTGTGTTCTGTTATGATCAGACCACGACCAGACCCTCTAAAAGTATTCTATCTGTAGGAAAACAATTTAAAATATATACACTAAAATATTCTATATTTAAATGAGACAAACTGATAACGTGGTCAAAATGCAGTAGCCTAAAGAAGAACAGATGCTTCAGAGATACTAAAATATGCAGATCATGCCAAGACCACTTCGCAAGCAGGTGGCAAAAGAAACTGCGCAGTTCTACCGTCAGCAAGGAAGAGACAAGAAAATACGCTTAAAAAGCCATTGCAGCCACGCTATGGCCGTAGGATAACTAACTTTTTTGTGTGTGTGTGAGGAAGATCGGCCCTGAGCTAACATCTGCCAATCCTCCTCTTTTTGCTGAGAAAGACCGGCCCTGGGCTAACATCCATGCCCATCTTCCTCTACTTTATATGGGACGCCACCACAGCATGGCTTGACAAGCGGTGCCTCGGTGCGCACCCGGGATCCAAACCCGCGACCCCGGGCCACCGCAGGGGAGCGTGCAAACTTAACTGCTTGCGCCACCGCGCTGGCCTTGTAGGGCAACTAACTTTAACTTCAAGCAGCACCACTGCACTTCTTACAATCTCAAGGTCAACGCCAAAATAATTTTTTTCAGCTTCTCATCATGCTAACACTTATACACAAATACACCACACACACCCAAGCACAAACATTTCAGTAATTTCATTGTTTAAATAGAATAAACTTCTAGAACTTGTATCTCAAAATACTATGAGCCCATTAAAAATAAGCAAACTTAAGTATACTGTACAAAGAATAAAGTCACTAGTACCACATAGTGTATTTGGAGAAGCTCAAACTATATAGAGCAAAGCAATTCTAAGAGTGGTGCAGTTCAGTTAAGAATTCAGCACCATAGGCTAGAACTTCATTTTTCTCTACCACTACTATGACTACTACTACCACCAGGTCCTAAAAAGGAACTAGATCCTCACCTCCTGTGTCCAAAGACCACTGGGATCTCAACAAGACACATGACAAGGAAACAACGCATACACTAACCCAGGGGCTTCGGGCCTTGCAGAATAATAAACAGCATTGCCACAAGGAGACAAGGCTTCATCTGGGGCAACTGAGAGCGCCCTGACTTAGCAAGAGTCTATCAGACTCCATAAAAACTGTGTGCTGTCAGTCTTTTTCTCGTGTGTATGGATAAAATCTGCAGATGCAACCTGGGCAGGAAAGAGGGAGACAGAGAATTTGGGGTACTACCATGCTGTTTGACCCTGCGAGTACCCTCCTCACTCTTCTAAGCTATGAACTACAGACTCCACTGACCGCCGCATCTGCAGCATGATCTCTAAGGAGCCTATCAGTTATAAAATTCTATGATAAAAGCCTCTATGTCCAAGACAAGTGCTAGAAACCTCAATGCTTTTTTCATTATCCTAATTCTTAGGGGGGAAAATAGTCAAACGAATATAAAAAACAATATAGAATTTTCACAGCAGAGGCACAAGTTCTCAAAGCACATAAGGTTTATAAACAGAAGATAACTACTTTTCATTTAGTTCTTTACAAGTCCACTTCAAAATAGCATTACTCCTGCTTCCCAAAATGCAATTTAAAGGCAGAAACAAAAATCTTAAAAACACTCAGACCATAAATTAGCTTAACATGGATAAAACTTAATTTTTTATATTTAATATTCTAAGACACATTTATGAAATAAAATATAGATTCTAGTAAACAAAAGAAACACACATAACAGGAAAGACAGCCATTTTTTGCTTGGCTTAACATGTACACAGTACAATACTACATTAAATGAAAAAACTTATTAATTAAACTATCAGCACAAATATGGCTCAATCCTTTTTCTAAATTCCCAATGTTTATGGGTTAAATACCTTACCTCTTCATTTTATAAGCCCTTAAGTCCTATATAGCCCACTTGTATTCCTCAAGGAGAGCTTCTGCAGACCAGTTTTAATAAACAAATGTCAATCACATTAAAAACATTTAAGGAATTTATCAATACGCAATTATGAAATTATACTTCTGAAAATATCATCCCTCCTAAATTAGGATTCTGGAAGAAAACAAAAGCTCAATAGAATTGTTTTCTATTTATTTTTTCAGTAGTCAAAGCATAAAAGCATCTTCAAGCCAAAGTGTCATATACATTTAATCATGGCTTCTGACTTAAGCATAACATTACAAATTTGTTCATATGCATTAAAAGAAAGTGCTCTCACTCTTACCTGTATATCCAGCATACCATCCCCAAGAAGCCACCATTCCTAAAAGCCACTTATACATGATTCCTTCAATATGCCAGAACCGCTTACTGTCCAGCACTCGAAGGGGCTGAAGTATAATCACATAGCAGATGTAGGATGAAATAGCAACCAGGTTGTTGGCGACCATGAAGGCAAATCTCATCAGGGCTTTCACCAAGATCCAGCCCAGCCATGGAGCTTCTTCCAAAGTCACAGCCATTCTCACACTGGAGTCCGTCCTGTCTTTCTGAGGTGAAAGAAAATTTCATTTAAAAAGGAAAATGGCTTAAACGCATCTAAATAGTCACCAACATACAAATCATCTCCAGCACAAAAATAAAAGAAAAACCGAGGGTCTACGCCTGCCCGCTGGAGTACCTCGGTGATCTTTCCGGGAAATTCCAGAGGGAGACAGCCAGCGAGGGAGGAGGAGCCGCACAAGGTCAAGGGAGCTGTTCACGGCGGCACAGGGTATGTCACAATATATTTAGCAAATGATAATACTATTCCCACTAACTAATCGGTGGCTCTCCCTGCAGCGCGTCTCACTGCAGTCTCTGCTTGGACTTTAAGGAAGAAAAAGAGACCCACTGGCTTCAGACACTCTCAGTGTCTCCAAACTGACGACACGAGCGGAAAGAAGACTGAAACATGGACCTCTCGATCGGATTTCCCAGGTGCTGAGAACCTCGGTACCCTCGCCACCACCGTTGCTGCACACTGATTCATTCCTTTAAAAGGTCTCTCGCAGGAGCCAAAAGAGTTACGCTAAAAATTTTCATCTGCGGCAAAAGGGTTTTTGTTTTCCTTTTTTTAAGAAAAAAAAGGAGAAGGGCCTAAAAAAGAGGGCAAAAAGGTGAGAGGAAGAAAGTGGGGGATAACGAGGCGAAAAGGAGGAAGGAGAGGAACAGGGGGAGGGGAGCAAAAGCGAGAAGGAGGGAAAGGCGAAGGACCAGGGATAAAGAGAATCAATGCTCGGAGCGGAGGGCAGGGAAGCGAGGGATGACGGAAGAAGCGGGGAAGGAGAGGCGGCAGCGCTCGGGGGTCGGGTGGAGCCCGCAGCGGTTTCCGCGGACGGGGAAGGGGTCGGGGCGGCGGTCGCCCGCGCGCCGGGCTCACCTCGGCGGGTGCGGACGGCGGGCGGTGGG